GATGAACAAGGTCTTTCCACATTGTTTTTTGAGACAGGATCTCTTACTTGCTTGGAGCTCTCCAAATGGGCAGCAAGTCTAAGGATCCTCCTGTGTCCTCCTTGCCAGGGCTGGGATTACAGTCAATGTACATTACAGATACTTTTAAACATAGCTTCAGGGTGGAACCAGGACCTCATGCTTACCCAGCTCTCTGCCCAGCCCCAGTCCCATGCTTCAAGTTATCCTCAGGTTCCATTCTCAGCAAGTTAGAAGTGACTACTGCTTTCTAAGAGGTCTTCGTCGGTGTGCATTATCCACACACAAACAGAATGTGGCTAAGAAGCCAACTGCCTTCTGCTCCTCTGGAGTACTCAGAGCCATAAATAACCAGCTACAAAATTTCTTTTTTCGAAAAAGGCAATGCCCTCCCATTTGGAGAAGAATGAAGTTTCAGCTTGAGTTGGTTTATCAAATAATTCTATTTCTGAAGTCACGGCAGGGGTGTGGTAATCGATTATTCCCTGGTGCCATTTTTATTTATCTGGGATCAGCAGAGTTCATCTCCCACCCAGCCTTGTGTCTCTTGCTGCAGCTTTTCTTTATTCTTGTCTCCTGGCATTTTAATCAGGGAAAGTCACAGTTGTTTTGAGGAAAATGCTCCCAAGAGCTTTAATTAAAGCTGGAAGGATAAATCTGTTTACAGTGTGGTGAACACCATCATTAATAAAACATTGGAATAATTAACAAATTAAACTCTGCTTTGTGTGTGAATGGCTACAGTTAGGACCTATGAGACCATGTCTCTTGAACAAATACAACATAATGTGTACTTTGTGTAGAAGAAAAGAAAAACACAGCCTGTGTTTCTCTGAGATTCCTAGTGCCACAGGCTGATGGTGCTCAGTGACCGAAGGCCACATCACTGTTTCATAGGGAAAGGACCTCATTTCCATGAGTCGAAGGTTAGGCTTTAATGATGTGTACACAAAGAAGAATTTTGATTGCACCACAGGTATATTGAGTCTATGGCTGCTTAATTAGAAACAATGAAAGAGAAAGATTATGTTAATAATAAGATAACTAGCCTAGAAAACAGACTACAGAATAGAATACTCTGGTGGGGGGAAGGATCAAATTTTACAGTGTCTCAACTGTCACCACTGACAAGAGCTTTTTCTGAAGTAGCTTCGTGATCAGGATGTAGCCATTCGAGAACCTTCCAGTTGGGACTTCCCTTCATGTTCCTTCTTACCAGGCGGCTTCTTGTCTTATTTAGAAGCTTCCTGGCAGACAACGGATCTCACAGGAAGCGCCAGTGTGGACGTTCATATCCATTGCTAACAATGTATTGTGTGTTTTTTTTTTAAATGTTATTTCGTAATTTCCTAGAGAAAACAATGGGACCTGAAGTCTGTTCCTGTCTTTAAGGAAAGCCAGTTTCCAATGTTGCTTTATTAATTTAACACATGCAAGTATTTGTTCTAGTTGTTGCTACAGCAACGTGTTTTGTGGGGCATACTTCATGCAAAATGGGCCAAAGCTGAAAATCAAGACAAATGTCATCTGCATACCCATGTGCATAAAAATAGAAGGACACGTGTGTGTGCTGTGTGTGCTACGACGCGTGATTAGCAGGGCCTGCCTCACCCTTCATCTGAACTATGCTGCACTTGCTGGTTAATTTGTAAAACATCTACCCGATGAAAACACCCAGCCAACCACTTCCAAGAAGCTTCAGAAAAGCTGGAAGCATGTGAAATTATTCCTAATTAGGTGACGGGTGGATGATAACTACTCCTACTGTGAGCACAGACATAAGTGTGTAAATGAGCTCTGAGTGCCAAGCAAAAAGGACCGTTTTATCTCAGTGTGAACAAGAAGCTAAGCTTTCATGACAGTAACCTTTCATAGCCACTGAGGGGCAAAAGTCCCTACACATGGCCACCATGAGCACCTCTGCCGAGAGGGAAGGAGAGGAGGACAGAGTCTGGTGCTCCTGAGAGTGACCCAGATGTATGAAGACAGAATGAACCACTACACTTGGAAATATTAAGAAGAAAGTGGGAAGCTGGGCGTGGTAGCACACATCTTTAATCCCAGCACTCAGAAGGCAGAGGCAGATGGATCTCTGTGAGTTCGAGGCCAGCCTAGTCTACAGAGAGAGTCCAGGACAGCCAGGTCTGATCCACAGTGAAACCCTGTCTCAAAAAACACAAACAAACAAACAAAAAGCAGTGGGCCTGGGAGCCCAACATATTTGCTTCCAAGTCCAGGTCCCACCTATGAACTTGATTCCTTGCTGATCTTCCTCAGCCTCAATGTCCCTGTTTTTGAAATGGAGGAGTTTTAGACTTCTTCCCAGGATTAGGGGATTAGATCAAATCTGTGTCCTGTTAGAAATGGCAAGGTGATTAATTGAAAGGGTGTTTGCCTAGCATTTAGAAGCCTTGACTTTTATCTCCAAAACCAGGTGTTTTGATTTATGTCCAACACTCAGGAAGGGGAGGCAGGAGGATTAGAAGTTCAAGGTCATCCTCGGGTATATAGTTCAAGGTCATCTTGGTCTATGTGAGACCCTACCTCAAAAAAACAAAGAAAAGAAAGGTGTCCAAAAGCTGTTAAGTAGCCAGGACACTTCAGAAGAAAACAACAATGGGAAGTGACTCACAAGAGACCCCACTTTCGTTGGGACATTCACCCAATACAGTTTGCCCTTTTCCCTACCCAGAGACAGGCTGAATGTGGCCGGGCGATGGGGCATTGGAAATGAGGCGTGAACTGCTTGCACAGGAATCTCAAAAGCTTGGGTGGCTGTCCCTGGTGTCTTCTGCCTTGTTGATAGAAACAGTTCTGGTAACAGCCACCCCTTGCTCAGCTGGGTTTATGAGGGTCTGATCCCTGAGCCAGTCCAGTAGTAGAGGAATGTAAATAGAAATAAACCTGGGGTGCGGCTTATTTGCCATGCTTCTCCTGACTAAACTGTCCCAGGAGAGAAAGAGTTGATGACGTTCTTAACGCAGCTATCTCAGATTACACCCAGCAAAAATGATATAATATCCTATCCCATTGACAAGTGCTTTGGGAATGCCCATTTTGTCTCTATGTTTCTGCCAAAGAAGAATTGGTTTGTGCAGAGGAATTACTACTATGGCAGTTTCAGAACCCCTGCAGGACCACAGTTTACCCATTATTGATTAAGGTCTATGTTACCCAGAACAGAAGTGTGTTACCATGCTGACATGCTTAGCACTGAAAAAAAAAAAAAATGCAAGCTACCCCAGAACTGTGTCTGTCATTTGCAAGGAGCTGCTTGTGGGTTTGGAGACATGGAAAGACAAGGTACCATGAACAAATTAACTTCACTTCTGGATTTGTCTAGAGCAGCTTCAGCAACCCCAAGTAAGGCCTCATCCTTTCCTACTCTCTCCACATGTTATCATTCAGAGGTTAGCGTGAGTTCAGTCTCCCGCAATAGGCTCTTTCATTTTAAGTGTATGTTAACCTAATAGTGACCTTTGCAAAGTAAACAGAATCCTATATTTGTGCGCAAATGAATGAAACGGCAATGGACATGAAGGGAGAGAATAAACCATTGGCATATAAGCAGAATATGCACATACACATGCTTCATTAAACAATGGTGCAGACCCTATGAGCCCAAGTACAGCCTTGGGTGGTAGAGTAATGATTAACCATGGTTGCAAGTGTGATGGGACTTAGAATCACAAAGGAAACAAATCTTTGGACCTGTCCTTCAGGGATTTCCTAGAATAAGTTAATTGAGGTGAAAAGACACATCCTAAAACTGGACAGTATTGTCTGATGTCCTGAACTGCATAAAAAGGAGAAAGTGAGTTGAGTAATAGCATTCATCTTTCTCTGCTTCCTGATACAATATGACTAGCTGCCTCTTGCTCAGGCTTCCACATCATCCCTGCCATGATGGACTATATCACCTGGAACTGCCAGCCAAAATAACCCTTTTCTCCCTTAAGTTGCTTTTGTGAGATATTTTGCTGCAACAAGAAGACATATAAATAATATAGGTGAAGACATCCAAAAGTCTAGGCCATGCAAGGATGGGTACTCAGAATGGTACAAGGGGTGACTCCTGGGAAATGGTAAGAGTAGAAAGCTTGGGGGTGAGGACTAGTGTCTGTGTGTGGTTGCAGTAAGGAAGGGTTTCAGAGCCGAGTAAAAGCAGTATCAACAGAATCACTAATGAAGACCATATATGTGGGTTCCATACTTGTCCATGAATACAAGACTAGCTACGCAGAACATGTGTATTCTGCATGTTTTACTCCAATCAAACAGAAAACTCAATACTTGTAGACAAAAATCTCAAACACACCTTCTAGACAGAATTACTATTATTTCATTGATGAAATAGAAATGTGTTTCATTTCTCTGAAGAGACACCATGATCAAGACAACTCTTATAAAGAAAAACATTTAATAGGGGCTGGTTTACAGATTTAGAGGTTTAGTCTAGTATCATCATGGTGGGAAACATGGCATTGTCCAGGCAGACATGTGCTAGAGAAGGAGCTGAGAGTTATACATCTTGATCCTCAGGCTGCAAGGAGGAGACTGTATGCCACACTGAGTATAGCTTGAGCATAGGAGACCTCAAAGCCCACCTCTACAGTAACACACTTCCTTCAACAAGGCCACACCTCCTAATAGTGCCAATCCCTATGGCCAAGCATTCAAAGACATGAGTCTATGGGGGCCATACCTATTCAAACCACCACAGAAGGGAATGTGTAGCTTTGGGGAAAAATAAATCAAACTCCGGGAAGATTAGCAAACAGGAATTGAGTTTCCTGGGGGCTGTCTGAGCCAGCCCTGCTCCTCTTTGTGTGAGTGTGACCATTCTCCATGGGTTGGACTATGTTCAGGGCTCCTTCTCCTACCCATATGTGGGTGTGTGGCATGGCACACATTTCTATTGGCAGCCTCTCCAGGTGCCTCATGTGTCTCCAGCTCAGCTGTGTCCAGCCTGTGCCACCTACCTGGATCCACTCGCGGTTGGAGTCCTCCCCTGGGGTCCACCCGTTCTCAGGGTAGTTCAGGCGGGAGCGCTCTACAGACCAGCTGGTTCCATACTGTGAGGAGGCAGTGATCTGGTCAGAGTGGATCTCTCCAGATTCCATGCCCAGAGCCTCCATACACTTGAAATCTGCAGACAAAATATGTAAGGGTGAAGGCACATCTTAAATTTAATGTGGCAAACTAAAGCGTTTGTTCACTCATGGCTTGGGGAGATGGGTCAGGAAGTGTTAGGATCTGCACTTGATCTTCAGCATCCAAGTAAAAGGCAGCTGGGCCTGTGACCTCAGCACTGGGATCCAGATCCCTGGGGCTTGCTGGCCAGTCTAACCACGAGCCCCAGATTCACTGAGAGACTCTGTCTCAAAACCTTAAGGTGTACAGTGACTGACACACAGCTTGATGTAAACATCAGGGGCGCGCACACACACACACACACACACACACACACACACACACACACAGTTCATCAACAAAGTCTGAAAAAATATGCAACATGGGATTACTGGAACACAGAACCTATAATTACGTTTTCCTAAACAGGGATATTTAAAAACAAGATTATGAGTGTCAGCACAGTTACCAGTAACTTTCTCATGTGGGCTAAGATTGGTAAAATGTTATTTGAGGTAGAGGATGTAGCATGGTTGATAACTCCATTCATGTGCAGCATGACTGGAGCCACATAGGTTTCACGCCAGCACTTTGTTATCTGGTACCTGGGGCATACCACCTGTAATGCCATCACCCTGGGTGTAGAGGCAGGAAGACCAGAAGTTCCTGGTTATCCTCATCTACACAGTGAGTAGGAAGCCAGCCAGGGATACATGAGACCATGTCTAAATATATTAAAAATAAAAAAGGGAAAAAAGAACGCTTTTTTTTTCTTAACTTGATAATCTCCTATCTGTTGTAGCAATGAAAAACTGACCAATATATTTAATGGAAATTTCACATTTTCTAAAATTTGTATCCCAACAGATAAGGTTTTATGATATCAAAGATATATATTAATTAGCCAAATAAGTTAAATGCAAAGAGAGTTTGGAATTTCATTGGACTTTTCATTTCCCAACCCAGTTTGGGGAAGATGTTAGCACCTCTCCCAGATCCCTGAAAACCAAGGCCCCACCCGGGACTCCTTCCCAAGAACCCTCAGCCACACAAACTTTAGGCAAGTATTTCTTCTTTTCATTTTATTTTTCTGTTGGGGGGAGGGATTGCAATATGGAAATTGAATGTAGGGACTTCTAAATTGCAGGCAAGAATTCTACCATCCACTGACATTTTGTCTGCCCCTATTATTTTAATAAGATCTTTAAAAAATACATTACCGTTTTTGTTGGAGAGGTACGTAACAAAAATTGACATATTCTTCTTTCCAGGCTGGGTCTCTGGCTCAGGGGGCTGCTGCTTGTCTAGCTTGGAGCAAGGCCTGGGTTCAATCCCTAGCACTATATAAATCAGGTGTAGTGTGCACACCTGTAATCCCCACTTGGGAAGTAGAGGTGGCAGGGTTAGGAGTTAAAGGTCATCCTTGGGTGCACAGTGAGTTTCAGGCCAGCCTGGCACACATGCAATCCTAAAAACAATGAGAGCTCGTGAGATGGCTCAGCAGATACAGCCTTTGCCACTGCTTGGCAATCCGAGGTCTGCTCTCAGAACCCACATGGTGGAAGGGAAAATTGTTACCTGTAAGGTGTTCTCCATCCGTCTATCTGTCTGTCTCTCTCTTACACACACACTAAAGCAATTGATTTGAAATGTGAAACACCCCACTTTTAAACATCCTACTTTTACTTTATAAGAAAATGGTAATGAGCCCCCAGGGTTCACAGTCACACTGTCCCTGTGTGTGACTGCTCTGTGTACCAACCTCTGGCTGGTTCTGCCAGAAATTGTCCTTTGTGGTTCCTGACACTTGTGCCTTTGAGGTGCCAGGGAAGCCTCAGGTCACCCCTCATTGTTTCCATGCAGTGTTCAGTCATTTTCGACTTCCTTAACTGCAGAGGCTCACGACTAATTTTATGGAGGAAATACAGCAAATGATTTTTTTCCAACTGATACACACACACACACACACACACACACACACACACACACACACCTGCACCTTTTTAGAGAGAAAAACAAGCACTGGGCACCACAGTTCCAGAACACTTCTTTACTGTTTCATGTGGCCGCTCGTGTATGAGAAATAACAGGCAGTGTTTACTACAGGCTTTTGAGACGAACAAGTACTGACCGTCTGAGATGCCACTCTGCAACACACTGTAGTTGGCCGAGAAACCTTCCTTTGCTATTGCACTGTCGGTGTAAAAGACCATGGAAAGAATGCCTGAAGAGGCTCGGATCCGGCCAGGTGTTTTCTGCCCACAGTAACGCCCAATGTGAGGGCCAACTGGAAAAGTAGAGATACAGAGAATGTCAGCTTTCTTCTCCATCAGATACAAAATAATCATCTAAAAGAAAACTCTCAGCAGAGTGTCAAGACTGCTGCAGCCTAACAGGAGGGCCCTCTCGTTAACTGGTGGAGAGTCAACACATCGGATGAATCTGCGGAGAGGATTTGGAAAGGTGCTTACAGGGGCACTCACAGTACAATCATATTTCCCAGCCAGCACTGTTCCCAGGAATGAAATAGACTGGAGAGATGGCTCAGTGCCACAAGGACCAGGGTTCAAATACCCAGCATTTACATACAAAGTAGGTGTGGTAGCCCAGCTGTAACGCCACAGCTCAGAAGGTAGAAGCAGAGATCCCAAAGACAAGTTGGTGAGCGAGCTCTGTATTCCATGAGAAAGCAGGCCTCAGAAAATACAGTGGAGAGTAATAGAGATAATCGAGGAAGACGCCCAATGTCAATGTCTGGACTCACATGTACCTGTACAGACATGTGCACTCACATACATGAGAACACACTCATGTGCGCACCACATATACATACACATGTAAAACCAAAATGAAACAAAAGCAAAGTGAGGGGTACCCTGAGGACTCATACCCTGGTTGTCCTCTGGCCCCACACGTGTGCTACCATGTGCAATGCACACAGAGCTTGCTTCAGTTGCAAAGACCATAACTCAAGCCATCTGGTGGCCCCGTGGTACTCCTCTTCAGTCCAAGTTGTTCCACAGTTCAGCCGAGAAAGACTCCTGTTGGGCAAGGTCCAGGCTACCTCACTTGTCCTTTCCCCAGAGGAGAGCATGAGGAAACGGAACGCCCCAAGAGTCATCCAGGGCCAAACAACACTGATTTCCTATCATTATGTAGCTCTGGATTCTAAACCACTCACATCATACATGTAGATAAAACTCTCTTAAGAACTGTGCCCAACAACTGACAGACAATTCTAACCATTCAAGACTTCAAGACTACAAACATTGGTATTTTACATATGATAATGTTACAATCAAAAGGAATGGAACCCACACTTATGGACACCTGATTTTTAACAAAGATGCCAAAACCACACAATGGAAAAAAATACAGCATTTTCAACAAATGGTGCTGGTCTAACTGGATATCTACATGTAGAAAATGCAAATAGATCCATATTTATCACCCTGCACAAAACTAAAGTCCAAGTGGATCAAAGATCTTCATATAAAACCAGTCACTAAACCTATTAGAAGAAAAAATGGTGAAGAGCCTAGAACTTATAGGCACAGGAGACAGCTTCCTAAACAGAACACCAACAGCACAGGCTCTAAAATCAACAATCAGTAAATGGGACCTCATGAAACTTGAAAAGCTTCTGTAAAGCAAGGGACACTGTTGTCAGAACAAAATGACAGCCTACAGACTGGGAAAGGCTTTACCAACCTTGTATCTGACAGAAGGCTAATATCCAGAATATATAAAGAACTCAAGAAGTTAAACAGCAACAAATCAAATAATCCAATTAAAAAATAGGGTACAGAGCTAAACAGAGAATTCTCAATAGAGGAATATCGAATAGCAGAGAAACACTTAAAGAAATGTTCAGCATCTTTAGCTATCAAGGAAATGCAAATCAAAACGACCCTGAGATTTCACCTTACACCCATCAGAATGGCCAAGAACAAAAACTCAAGTGACAGGAGAGCACAAGGAGAGCAACAGAACCAAAAAAAATCTGGACACAGGTGTCTTTTCTGAAACTGATACTCCAACTAAGGACCATTCATGGAGATAACCTAGAACCCATGCACAGATGTAGCCCATGGCAGTTCAGTGTCCATGTGGGTTCCATAGTAATGGGAACAGGGACTATCTCTGACATGAACTGATTGGCCTGCTCTTTGATCACCTTCCCCTCAGGGGAGTGCAGCCTTACCAGGCCACAGAGGAAGACAATGTAACCAGGCCTGAGAAGACCTATAGGCTAGGGTCAGGTGGAAGGGGAGGAAAATCTCCCCTACCATTGGACTTGGGGAGGGGCATGGGTGGGGAAGAGGGATGAAGGATAGGATTGGGAGGGAATGAAGGAGGATATAAAGTGGATGAACTATAATTAATAAAACATAAATTAATTAAAAACAATAAAAGAGTGGGGATTGCACTACACTATGTTTAGTGGCCAAGAAATGGCCCCCAGCAATCATTTGTAACCAGCAGGAGTTATGTTTGCCCTGGGCCATGAATAGCCCTGAACACTGACTAATTTGTGTTAAAGTCAAATTCTAATTTGGCGTGGTGTAGCTGTGCCTTTGCTGAAATGTTTTAGCCCAACCTTGGCAATGAGTCATTTAGTGCAGAAGCCCCTAGGAATTGAGGGACCCCTCCATTGATCTGTTCAGATCAGCAAAACAAAAAGTAGTCATTTCACTGTAGTATTTTTATCTCACATATGGTAAAAACACACCAGATGGCCTGAACTGTGAAGGACTGTCTGGTGTAGACCATCTTCCCTCGCCAGAAAACCACTCTTCTGTGCACTTCAGCCAAGAATCACTGCTCTGCTTACAGATCCCAGTAGGTAGACTTTCCCTTTTCCCTGGGGTGGAGGGACAGGTCTTCAAAAGGGATATGGGTCTCCAAGAACCATGAATGAAACTTGTTTCGAAGAAAGTTTTCAGGGTAAGATGATTCAAGTGTCACTGAAAAAGTGAACCCAACAACAAAACCCTAAGAACCACTGACTTTCTAGTGGGAAGCAAATCTGAAAACTTTGTATTTTGTAGACCCTTGGCTAACAGGTTTTCAGTTTAACCAATCCCCTTAAACCAAACAAAAACAGGTGCACATATTTGAGTTCATTTTTTGTCTTTTTCCATTTAGCATTATTATTATTATTTTACAATTTATTCACTTTGTATCCCAATCGTAGGCCCTTCCCTCATCTCCTCCTGGTCCCACCCTCTCTCCCTCTTCCTCTCTTATCCCTTTCCCCTAGTCCACTGATAGGGGAAGTCCTCCTCTCCTAGCCTATCTGGTCCCATCAGGTCTGCCTGAATCCTCTTCCTCTGTGGGCTGGCTATGTTGCCCCCACCAGGGAGAAGTGATCAAGGAACAAGCAACTGTGTTCATGTCAGAGACTGTCTCTTCTCCCCTTACTAGGGTACCTACATGGAGACTGAGCTGTCTCTGGGCTACATCTGAGCAGGGGGTCTAGGTCCTTTCCATGTATGGTCTTTTGTTGATGCATCAGTCTCTGCTGCTCCCACTGGACCCAGCTTTTTTTTTTTTTTTTTTTAGCTTTGTTGGTCTCCTTGTGGAGCTCCTGTCGCCTCCACATCCTTCTATATCTGCCTTGTTCCATAAGACTCCCTGCACTCTGTACAAAGTTTGGCTGTGAGTCTCTGTATCTGCTTCAATCCCCTGGTGGGTGGAGTCTTTTAAAGGACATCAGTGGTAGGCTCCCATCCTGTTCCCTCTCTTTTACCACTTTTGGTGAAAGGTTAAATGTATATCCTAGAATGGTCTCTCACACACTATGTAGCTGACAATGATAGTGACCTTATGATCCTTCTGTTTTCAAGACTATAATTTTAGGAGTGTTCCATTATGCCTGGTATATGCAGTGGGGATCAATCCCAGGGCTTCATTCAGTGTGGCAAACCAATCTTCCAACTAAGCTCAATGCCAAGCTTTGACACAATGCTCTTTCTGTATACATGAATCCAGGGCTTTGTGTCAGCTAAGTAAGTGCTCTACCCCTAATTCTCATCCTACAGCCCACTATACATTACTCTGAATATCTGATCACTTGATATATTCAAAGTGATCAACCGGACTGAGTTTAAAGACTATTCTATCTGCCATCATTCTCACTCTAGAAACAGAGAACTTGGTGTGTAATGTGGTTTACCATGAGGAAAACATGAGGGTATCCCAGGAGAGAGGCTGATAATGATCCTTTAAAGAGCATCACCCTGGTCAATAGCTCTGAATGTTGCAAAGAGAGTCTTGTTAGACTTGCCTCAGAAAATGGAACTCTTACTGTTCCTACTTCTTTTCAGCTTAATCTTGGCCTGGATTTCTTCTGCAAGTGCTAGCTCTTTGCCAGGCTTTCTTCATCTGGTGTGTGAGGCCCTGTCACCAATTCAACGCCTCTTTTCTTGGCCAAGGAGCTCCAGGTTGTCCATAATGTATGCACAAAAGCATCTCGCTGGAGCCAAGAACTCAGTTCTTCCTTTGCCTGGGTAAGAATCCCATTTTGGTCTGCAGTTATAAATGGGAGGCTTAGTGTCCATTCATCCTCTCCTCATGGTTCCCTCTCATTTAAATTCCATTAGAGTGGTTTCATAATCTTTTTCTTTAGTTTGTGGGCAAACTTTTACAGTCCTAATCCTTGGGGTTGTTCCTTGATCACCACAGCCCCTGACCTTCCCCATCAACGCTGGCAAGGGAAACACTGACAGCCATCCTCCCCCTTTCCTATCACCCCATTCCTTTGGGGAGAGTGGCAGGGGGAGTCTCTTTGAAAGAGGAAACAGAAGAGAACTTGTCTAATGCAGACTCATAATTTAGAGAGTCTCTATGACTCACTGGTTTATAATGTTGGAGGCATGCTGGGTAAATCTGCCTTCTGTCTTTTAGAACATTGCCTCCAGACAGATCCCTGTACGTCTCCTTAGGAGCCCTCAAGATACAAGAGTGTAAGGCTTTGGCAACAATAATACAAAGAGGTATTGAATTTTCGTGAACAACAGGGGGACCTCAGCTTCGCAAGTTAATGCAATATTGATCTGAGCCAGGAGGACAAGGCACTCTCATGCGCAACGTATGTGCTCATTTGTGTTTTATTTGAACAGGGCTACTGGTTTCTTCTTTTTGTAATTGTGGATCCAAAGGCCAGAGATAGATGAAAATGGTCAGCAAACCCAGGATTATAATGCAAAAGATAAATCACTAAGGACTTTAGTAAGGGCAATATACAAGCTTTGAACAGCAGGGAACTAGTCCTATTAGGTTGGATGTGAAGGTGACAAAATGTCTTTCCTGCTTAGGTGGCAGCACTTCATTCCATTGTTCTTTCCAATAATCATAGCCCTACCTCAAAATGAAGATGACATGGTCTTCTGCCTTCTCATATGAAGAAAAGTAACAATCAAAGGTAAAGATTATCTTTCTTTCTTTCTTTTATTTCCTTCCTTCCTTCCTTCCTTCCTTCCTTCCTTCCCTTCTTCTTTCTTCCTTCTTCTTCTTCTTTGTCTTCTTCTCCTCCTCCTCCTCCTCCTCCTCCTCCTTCTTCTTCTTCTTCTTCTTCTTCTTCTTCTTTGTTGAGACATCTGGTACTTATTGTGTTGCCTAGGTTAACCTTGAACTCAGTAATCTTACTTAAGCCTTCCAAGTTCTGGGGTTACATATAAGACTATGCCTGGCTAAAGAGGTACTTTTAAAGTGAGATATCCTTAATACATCAGAAAGGAATCATCTCATAAACATTAAATAGGCCACTTCTTATAAATTAATAAACATATTGATAGAGAATCCCTAGCATTTGTACATTGGCACATTTAGTCCTATCCTTATGGTCTTACTAGACTACTTTATAAGTAAAAGTAAGTAAAAAAAAAAAAAAAAAAATTCCCACTAGCTCCTAAGAAACTCATTCCTGACTCTGCTAATCATTTCTGCAACATCAGTGACACCGAGTTCTGGTTTTCCTTCCCAGCTCAAGCAGAGAGCTGGCACACCAGTGGTGTGAGTTTATCATTCCCTGGCTCCATAGTCCAGTCCACACAAACATGTAGAATCCCTTTGCAGAGACAGGCTTGGTTCTCTGCAGCAATCCCTTCAGAACTTGTGAATCTACCAAGCTTTCAGAGAGTAAGAGATGAAGACTTGTGACTCACAATCTTCATGCCTCGAATTCAGAGTTGCAGAGTGGACTGCTGTTCTTCAAAGTCAATTTGAATCAATGATGGCTTTCAATTACTTAGTCATTTAATTCAATGTTTATGATTAGATGGAACATAAAGTCATGTGATGGCTAAAAGCCTTCTGCACCTTTTGGATGTTGTTTCTGGAAAAGATATCAGAGACTTAAAATCTATTAGGAGTTATGAGTGTTGAACTACGGTGATGAGAATGTCTGTAGTGCCACTGACCAAAACCCAGAAGGGTTAAGTTCCCATTTTCCCTACAAAAGAGAAAGCTATAACTTTGCTGATGTTGACTGGATGAGGCCAGTCAACAAATATACAAAGTTTTTGTGTTGGGAATGTAGCTCAGTTGATTTAGTGCTTCTCTCGGCTGCATGAAACTCTGGTTTCAATCCCCAGCATGGCATAAACCAGGTGTGGCAATGCATGCCTGGAAGCCTAGTACTGGGAAGGTAGAGATGGGACCATCAGGAGTTCAAAGTCACTTTCTGCTACATAGTAAGTCTGAGACCAGTCTGCACTACATGAGACCCTTCCTCAAAAACAAAACAAAATAATGACTTCTTCATATTCCAAAGCCAGTGTTCTCTGGAAATGAGTCAACTCTGCCATAGTTTAAACCATGGGTGCATAAGGCTGGTAACTCTTATATTGTTCTTAGTTTCAACACAGTGATTTTTCTAGAACCAGAAAATTACCACTTTAAGAAACCGCTGACACTAATAACAATGTGCCTCTTTCTAAAAGTATTCTAAATAAGTTGGTTGATGGGACCTTTTCCTCAGATGTCATTTTAAATTAAAGTTCTAGAAAGGAAGGCTGTAAATTTGGGTTGTGAACAAATATTCCCAGTATTACTCATTCCAACTATTGTTATCACATTATTATAATGCTATTTTCCTAATTATCAGATTGAGTGCCTGGAAATCAATCAGTGCTGTGTTTGGGAAAATCCCATTATCTAAGGAAGGAATTCCTGTAAGATCATTATAACCTTCTTCTTAATGTAAAAAAAAAAAAGATCAAACCAGTGTTAACTCACTCATTTATTAAGGGCAGCATAAGGCTTCTCCAACACTAATTTTTTCTCTGCTGTTTACTGATAAAATGACTGGAATTTGAATGTCTTTTTAAAGTACTGTAAGCAGTTCCCTTCATATTTTACCTGATCTTCATTTACAATGTATTCAGCTTTGAAAAGCCATCCTACCGTTTCAATGGTACTTATATATCTTCAATCACCAGCCATTGAGCCCTTTTTAGCCCTCAAGGGAAATCTTAACAGGAAATTGGGCTAAGCACAATCAGCAACATGGCTGCAACAAGTTCTTTATACTCCTTTCTTTGTTTGGAATTTTCATGCCAATTTTTGCATTCTATCTCTCCTGTAAGTTTCATAGCTGTCCACATGGCTATCTCCCCACCCCCTTCAAAGTCAAACTCAAATGGTCTTGTCTTACTCTGGTCTGGCTTGACCACCGCACTCAGAATTTAAAACACACTTCCTCTTTCTGATATTGTCATCCCTTCATCCTACTCTACACTCCTTTCTGCTGTATAAGATGAATGACTTGATGTAAGTGATGTTTTAATGAACAAAAATAATGTAGTCAGGAAAACTAAGTGTTGATCCCTAGGCTATTCCAGAAATCACTCAGGACCTTGAGTAATCTTTCATATTCTCCACTGCCTGTGTGCACAGTGAAGGAGTTGGGACGCAGGATTGGGAAGGCTACTCATAGAAATTTCATTCCTCCCCTTCACAGTTTCATTTTCTTTTCCCTTGTCATTTTTGGCTATTTTTAAGAAATGATGTGTGCCTTGTGGCATTTATAAAAGATTCCTCCTTTCTGAGGAATTTTTCCAACTGTTCTCAGATGTTACCTTCAGGGAATCCATCCCAGATCTCCAGCCGGTCGTATCGACAGAACATTCCTCCTGGAGGATTTGAGTCTTGCTCCAGGTCAAAACTTTCAAACTCCAGGATAATCTCGGACATCTTTGGTGCAAAGATGATATAAGTGCACTCCAAGCTGTTGGGGTACTTCTCAGGGAACCCCGGGGACTTTATCACTCCTGTAGGTGCTGTATAGTTCTGAGAGCATTCCGGCCCTGTGAGCAAGAGATAAACGGGACACAATGACACTTTCTCAACTGTACAAGAAGTCTGGCGAGAAGGAGAGGATTACTAGGGAAAGCCCACCTTCTCAGATATTCCCTAACAGCAACGTACATGACAAGTCACGTGTAGGTTTACTGTGCTCACCATAGTGTCCCATTTGTGTGGAGTGATTGAAAAGCATCTGCTGTTGCAGGCCAAACAAATAAAAAAGAGGACAAATATAAAATCATGTGGGAACAATGAGAAAGTAAGCTGCAGAAATCTCGACAGAGCCCTAGAGAAATAATTATAGCTCCTTCAAGCCCAGGTCTTTAAATCTCAAGGCTGACAGCCATTTTTATTGGTGAAATAGAACATTTATGAAAGCGAGGGAGAGAATTTAGCCAAGAGAGTTTGGGTTTCAGATTTCCTGGAAGTGAGTTGGTCACTCTGCCAGATGTGACCTCTGTCTCTTTGACAAACTGAATGTGAAAGGTAATTCGTACATAGACCCCGGGTGACTGACTCACTCTGAGCGGTGTTGACACAGGTGCGTGTCAACGTGTGGCAGTTAGCAAGGGCACCATAAACTGTGATTACAGCCTGATGCTAGGAGTCACCTGATAGCAGCACTGACACTCTAACCGTCCCCCAAGTGTCAGCTGTGGTGCAGTAAACCATCCCAGATTTGCTCCCTCACAGGCATCTCTGCAGAAGGCCCACATTTACAATGTGTGATTTTAATAGCTGTTTAGGGTTATCAAGACTTTGCAAACTGTGGTGATTTGTGACTGCAAAACAAGAGGAGGTGTGCGTGCACTGCAGGCTGAACCTGCAGCTACACGAATGGGCAAAATTTCAAGTCTACTGCACCTCGCACAAAACAGGGGACTGTCTGCATGGCTAAAATGTCAGCTTTCCATGGTGGCCATCACGGTTCTGATCTTCAGGTAGCCATACTTCAGTAAAGCAGAGAACACAGGACGCCCCTCCCTTTTGAAGAGTTACTATTTCACTTTTATGTGTCTGAGTGTTTTCCTGCATGTGTGTGCATCATAGCAGTGCTTTTGCCCACAAAGGTTGAAACCCCTGGAACTGCAGTTAAGGACGGTTGTGAGTTACCAGGTGAATTTTGGCAACCAAATCTGAGTCCCTGCAAAAGCAGAACATGCTCTTAACTCTCTGCAGCCTCAAAAATAGGATCTTGTAAATTTCAGCAATGAATCTGAGAATGTTCAAGTCGGCTTCTCTTTCCTGCATCAGTGTCCAGCTATGACTCAAAGGCCACTGGCTACGACTCAAATTCCAAGAGTTGCTGAAATAAGGGAACATATCAAGGCTGATCTTCGCATCTTTGAGTGCATGTGTACACGTCTCTGTGTGTGAAAGGTCACGTGAGTATGCACACAGTAGCCAGAGGACACCTCTGCTGTCCTTCCTCAGTGCCGCCCACCTGGTTGTTTTGAGACAGCGCCTCTCACTTTTACCTGGAGCTCACCTGGGGCTCATGGATTTGTTAGACTGGCTGGACAGTGATCTGCGTCTGCCTCCCCAAGCATGTTCCATCACACGTAGCACTTTACTTGGTTTTTGGGGATAAAACTCAGATCCTTTTTCTTTACTAACTGAGCCTTCTGGGCAGTCTGACATGGTTCCAAACTGAGTAGCCTTCTGAAGTGCCCAAAAACTTGAAGGAACTTCTTAGACATCAAACCCAGTCTTTGTGGCTCAGGTCAGAAAGCCCAGTTTCCCTCTGAGGTTCTGGAAGTTCTTGAAAGCAAAATTAGGTGGCTAACCTCTGAGTTAGCTATTCATAGTTCTGGAGTGTAGAATAGAGCTTGTTACCTAGACACAATACACCTGGACTTCCAAGGCGATCTGGCTTGTTCCAGGAGGCTAGAGAGATGGCTCAGAGGTTAAGAGCATTGTCTGCTATTCCAGAGGACCTGAGTTCAAGTCCTAGCAACCACATGGTGGCTCACAACCATCTATAATGAAATCTGGTGCCCTATTCTGGTGTGCAGGGGTACATACAGACAGAACATTGTATAATAATAAATAAATCTTTAAAAAAAAGACTGCTTCCCAAAGCTTCTTACATGGCCTCAAGCTAGTCCTTTATGCTGCCAGATGCTTGACTATGGGTAAAACCTCAGAAGTCTGTTGCATTTTGCCAGGTTAATTCAAAGTAAAGTTTTATTTTTTATTTATTTTTTTTATTGCATTCTCAATATTCTGGGAACTTCTCAGATGACAGTAATAATATCAACTTGAGTTTCTAATTCACAAGTTACATCTGAAATATATATGTGCCTTGTATATCATATACCATAATTGCATACTAACATATTACATATTGTTATATTAATTCATAGTTGCATAGTTAATATGTAGTAAAGCTATGTGTTGTATGTGCTATATAATATAAGATGCACGATATTGGCAATCTAAGAATTTTACTTCTGAGATTCAATGTGTCTTCATGTCTCAATCTCCTCTCTGGGGAAAAAACACCTTCATTAGATCTTCTCAGAAAAGTGCACAGAGAACGCTAATGCAGGCATTACTATCTTCTCCTGAGAAACATTAGCATGTACAGATGAGTTATGGTGCAATGAGGGAAAAAAGTTTGAGCAGCATTGACTTCACTTTCAAAACTGTACATTTCAACATTTCCATGGTGAGTGGCCACACCCTGGAAGTGACCTCAGGGTGGGTATGGCTTGATATAGCAGAGAAATCCCAAGAGATGATAGGAGAAAACTGGGCTGAGTGCCAGAAAATGTGGGATCCATGCCTTCCTTGGCCACTGCAACCCCAGGGAGCCTCAGACATCCTGGGCCTTTCTTGTTTTCACAGGGGCCCCGAGCTTTGGATTCAAGATAAAACTTGATAATTTCTCATTTTCTCTACCGTGCCCCAAATAGAACCTTTGTTTTGTTTTGTTTTGTTTTGTTTGCTTTGCTTTGTTTTGTTTTGGAGACAGCATCTCAGAGGATGCAAACTAGCCTGGAACTTGCTTTGTAGCAATGGTGAGCTTGAGCTTCTTGTATTCTTGCATTCATCTTTCAAGTGGGCTAAAAGTGACTATTCCAAAGGAGACAGGGGCAGGGATGGCTCGGGATCTCCCAGGGTTGAACAGGAGTGAAGCCAGCCTGGAGGCCAGGGAGCTGCAAAAGAGGCAGAGGTGTACCACGGTTTGGCTATGACTTGGAAGGTGACAAGTATATTGTGTGGCCACAAAAAAGCACATCTGGATGTTAATGACAAAGAGGATGGACAATTACAATAACTAAAATATTTCTTGGAGCTGCTGTTAGATAGGGTCCCCTACTTCCCAGGAATTTAGCCTCAAACTCCTTGTAGTGGACGATGATGGTGAAATTCTTCTACTTCTGCCTTCACTGATCAAGCAATAGAATTACGTACTATGCCTATTTTATTTCCTGTTGGGGATGGGACCCAGGGGTTTCTTCATAACAGGTAGGTACTCAACCAACTGAGTAACATCCCTCCCTGATCCTTGTTAAATATGTAGACTCTTAATTACATAGTCTGTACCAAGCACCGACACTCAGCCCCTGACACTGAGGTCTGTAGAAATTGCTCCAGCTTTTTCAGCAGTGGGGCTGGTGGCCAAGGCTAACAGGCAGGACAGTGATAGAGTGGCAAGAGATGTGGATGTCCCAGAGAAGTTTCTATGTATTGGGCTAGTGGCTCAAAGTTCTAACATCTGGGAGAGCAGATATAAAGAAAAATCAGGGCTCTGGGGTCAGAATCAGGGTGGTCCAAGGTGACCAGAGGAAAGGTGAAGGGTGTTAAGCCTGCCAAGCAGGACAGTCCTCATCCTCAGCTCTTGGAATTTGGAACAGCAAATTCTCATACTCATAATCCACTGCCCGAAAACCTCAAAGCCAGCATCTAAAAAATTAATTTCCTGATTGCATTAAACTATGATTAGTATAATCCATGTGGGTTAAATTTTTTTGAAACTTTTGAAGTTGTTGAGCCCTGAAGAGTTTTCAGAAGATCAGAAAGCTATGAGTTCTGTATCATTTAAATGACTTCTAAAGAAAAATGTATATTTATGCATGTATTTTGTGAATAGTTTCAAACAGAAGCAACAGTGTTAGAAAATGAAGCAAATGTTTCATGAGGAAATTTGAAGATATTAAGAGAAAGACTGGTAAATGTATATGTGTATATAGTATGCTTACACGTGTAGATAGTCTGTGTGCTGTACAGAGTGTTTACACACAGAGGACAACTTGGGTATGCACATGGACACTCAGGTTAACTAGGGGTGCTTCCTGAGAAGAGAGATTGGAGCCAGCCTGTACTGGGTCCCCCTAATGAGGAAACTGATGCTCCGTCCACCCACACAACTAGAAAGTGGCAGTAGCAAAAGTCACACTCTGATCAGAATATAGTCCTCAGCAGGATGTTCATCGTAGTAGGTGACAGTTGAAGGTAGACAAGGGCAAGAACTGATCAGGCCCTGTCCAGCATCCAGCAGGATTGAACTTAAGCCAGCACACAAGAGCCAGTGGTTAAGTTTTAATAACATGGGGTGACCCATGGAGTGGCCTCAAATGGAGTACATTGGCCAAAACCACCATTCGAGTGTACGTGGTGGCTCATGGCAGTGGACCTGGAAGGAGGCTGTGATTTTCTGAGTCTGTTGTATTAAAGTGAAGAGAGCAGGGAGCATGCTAGATACAGGGAGTACACAGAGTTGATTAGTAGTTTTGTGGGGTGTGGGCTCTGATGAAGGAGGATAAAGAATTCTCCACAAGTCAACAACCTGTGCTCCTCGCCCTCATCTCTCTCAACTACCTTCAGATATTTCAAAAATATTAAAAGTGAAAGAAATTTTCATTTCAGTATGAAAATGAAATCTCTTGCTCCTTTTCTGACACCTGCTGCCTTTGACAGTAGCATATGTGAGAAAGCAAGCATAGGTGGCTACATGTGTGTATATACTGATAGGTTAGACCCTTTGGATAACAATGTCATACAGTGCAGGAAAACCTGCATCCATGTAATCATTGCTTTGTAGGCCACATTCTTGGGTAGTATTGCTTTTTTGTTTCAATTTTGAGGCAAAGCCTCTCACTAGCTCATCAAGTAGGCTAGGACAGCTGGGTAACACATTCTAGAGATCCTAGTCTTTGCAGCTTCCCTGTGCTAGGATTACAGGCATGTACCGCCATGCCCTGATTTTTACATGGGTGTTAGGGGTACAAGGCTAGTACTTTACTGTCTGCCCAGCCCTATGCTTACGTAATACTACGCAAAGTTCTTTTTACACAAGACAGGGGCAGACATCTTTGAAATGTGAAGTCACACTGACAGTTCTAAACTCTCAGTGGCTCTCCTACCTGCTGTAGGGTGTGGGCTCTGATTCCACTGCCTAACTGAAACACCCCAGGTGTTTGACACTGTTGTGACTAGATTTCTTTTTCCTACTTAAGCAGGTGCTTTTTGCATGTATTTCAGAACAATGTTCCAGACTTGAGCCACTGTCTCTGGACTGTCAAGAAATACCAGCCAACTTAAAAATGTAAATATCAGAAACAAAATCTAATGCAAGATGATTCGGCAGTGGTCTCCAGATACCTCACAGCATTTATGTGTTCACCTGTTAAAGATTGGATCTGGAATGTTTGCTGTGTGGTCCCATTGGAAGGCGGAAAGCTTTTAGGTGGTATGGCACAGTGGGAAGTCAGCTAGTCATTTTTTATGTGTGTCTCTGTGGGGTAATCTTTGAAAGTGGGTATGAGATGGAAAGCTTTCTCTTTTAGTAGATCATGGTCATAATCCCTTAAAACTGGAAGCCTAAGAAACTGTCAGAAATATAAAAATAAAGTGCTAACCATACACGTAAGGTAAAAGAGACTGACTGTCCTTGACTTCACACACACACACACACACACACACACACACCCCTAACTTCATGGCTGGTGTTGTGACTCAGGTGGTAGGGGCTTGACTGGCCTGCATGAAGCCCAGGGTTACATCTCTAGCATGGTATAAGCTATATTTGGGGCAACACACTTGTGATCCTCAGACCTAGAATGACCTGGAAGGTGGAAGCAGGACTATCCGGAGTTCAGGGTTATTCTTGGCTATACAGAAGTTAGAAACCAGATGGGTTAGGGATCTTGAAGCAGGCAGAGGGAGGTGGAGAAGGAGTAAGAATGCATTAATCTCCAGTAGAATTTTAGCTTATTTCTGAAAAGATAAGAATCAATGCTTTTTAGAGAATTCAGTGTGGTGCATTTCCTTTAAATAGTCAATACATGTCAGGATGACACTTTTTTATTTATGCTTTTTGAGTACTTTATTTCCCTTTCAAACAGACTTCTGCCATACCATACTATGGATATATTTACTTTATTCAAAATATTTTTCAATATTTCTATAAGGGAAAAATTAAATTCTTTACGAAAGGGTGGAGTCATGACCTTCATCTTTCTCTTCACGTGATTCTTCTTATGTAAATTACTTACCTCTCTTGAAGATTTCATAACGGATGGAAAACCCTGCCCCATGTGTTTCGTAGTCAGAGACAAATTTGATGAAGAGAAAGGGTCCCGAAGACACTACAGGAGAAGGCGCAATCTTCCCACAGAACTTCCCCCACAGGCGGCCGCTTTCATTTTCTCCGTCGATCACCTCCACATAGTCATACCTTGCAAACAAAAATAGCCGGTGTTGTGAGGTGGAGAGGAAAGTCCTTTCAATTTCAAATTTTGAGAAACTTAACATCTGGTATGGTGTGGCAAGAGGGGAAAATGCGCCATCTGTATTACCAGTGCCCAGTGCAGGGTTCGGGGGAGGGGGTGCAATAACTAAAATGGACTGCATCCTGTGCACGCTATCAACATCACAGAACCACTGAATATAATGCTGTCCATTACACTTGCAGACAATGTCAGTTAAAGTAACCAATTAACAAGAAAAAGCAAAATCTCTGAAGCACAGTTCTCTATTATTAAGTCGTGTTGCTTTGTCTGTGGTGGGGGTGTCTTGTGCATAGTGCAGGACATTCTTTTCAAACTGCGAGGTTCTCTTAGGAATTCAGAATGTCTCCTTGGCTAGAGTGCCCCATGAACAGTACTTTGATTTCTGTGAGCGACCTTCTAAACATATGGCCACAGAATAATAAACAGATTCTTCACTATTTAATGCCATTCTGCTCAGCTCCAGTCTTCTGAGAAAGGACTCTCTCTTTAGCCACATTCAGTGGTTCAGACAGAATACCTCCCAGCCTACACCAGTGTCACAAAGCAGGATTTAAATTCTGAAAAAGGGAGTTGTACAAAATTGGAAAGTAACTTTGTTTATACTCACTAGTCAGAATTTTTAAAGGGATATTGTTGGGAAAAGAAACAACACAATTTTGAAGTCATCAAGGAAAACTCAAGCTTGATAATCATGCTGACAGAACCAATAGTGAAAAGATAACACTGATTTAATGTGTGTTTGGAGCTCAAGGATCTTTCAAAAAGGAAGGAAACACACAGGTGTCCCTGAGGAGAACAAGGAGATTTCCATTGTTTCGGCGTTTTATTTCTTAGTCTTTCTTTGTCTTCCCTTTCTCCTTAAAAAAAAAAAAAAAAGTGTGTGTGTGCGTGCATGTGTGTGTGTGCGTGCATAAGTCAACACTGGATATCTTTCTTTAAGAGCTCTCCAGCTTATTTTTTGAAACAGGCTCTCAGACTGAACCTGGAGCTCACTGATTAGGCTGGACTGGCTGGGCTGTGATCGAGCCCCAGGGCCTTCACCTTCACCTGCCAGGCCAGTGGTCGCAGAGGCATACTGCCATGCCTGGCTTTGTTGGTCGCTGAGGATTTAAACTCAGGACTGTATGCTTGAACAGTGAGCATTTGTACCCAGGGAGCCATCTTCCCAGCCCTTCCATTCTGTTTAATTACCAGGCCACCTGGGAGTCACACAAACCTGATTTGTCTTCATTTTTCTCCTAGAACTCACATGAAACTGTTGCAACCCATTTATTTCAAACCTTAGTTTGCTTTTAAAATCCTGAGATATATTCATTTCAGGCATGGCTAAAATATGGCAGTCACATAAACTGTATTTGGCAATTTAAAAGAAATCAAGTGAAGAAAATCTTCATGATGACCACGTAGTCACTAGCAAACCCTCTTCAAACTGCCAGGACCCATGACTTATGTCTACGGAAAATCCCAGGAGACAATCACCAGGATGATATCACTGGTTAAAGTGGACAGCTCAAGGCTCTTTAAATTAAAGATGACATTACCTCATCAGTTAAAATTGTCTGCCAGCTTTGTGTATATCAGGAAGAAAATAAAGCTGGCATTGATGGAGCTAAGAATTAACATATGTGAATTATTGTCCAAACACCGTTTCCCTTGTTGAGTCTGTTATTTCCAGTAGTAATCACGGGCCAGCTAACACCTCCAATATCACTGTCCCTTTGTGAAATGTGGAAATACACTGAGGAATTGTTCCTTTTCTCACCCTGGTAGAGATGCTTTATATTTAAAAGATAAAAGATGAGGAGGAGGTGAGGGATGGATAGAAGGAGGAGGAAAATATATCTAACATCCTAACCAACTTTGAGAGGTACTACCAGTCCCAGAAGAATAAGTCTGGGCCACCACAGCCTCCCCACCCAGCCTTTAAGCAGTGATCCCTTTCATGTGCTGCTCCTCTGATAAGAAAGGCCTGCAGGCTCTGCCCTGCACGTTCTTATAATCTAACTGTGATTTGAACGGCTTGTTGTGTTTGGTCTGAGCACCGCACACCCAGCTTCGCAATATAAGCTTTCACTCCGATCTCGACACGGTATGAATACTAAGTGACTAAATCCTGGTGCACGCTGCCTTCCAGGCACAAATAAGAGAGGTAGGTCAGGGACTGTGAGGAAGGAAGGGCATTTCTGTGGGGAGGGCTTTCTCCCAGGTATCAGAGTGCCCAGCTAACTATGGGAATTGCAAGAGAGGAGAAAACTAGTATTTTAATTCATACATTCTCTGATAGTAAATACCAGGCCCTCCCCTTGGCAACTATAAAAGCTATTTTTAAAAGTGTGAGGGGAGTGAATTAGAATCCTTTCCTAGCAAGAGATAAGCCATAGCCAGTGCCAATTTTAGGAAACTGAGTTATTCAGGGATACTATAGTCACATTTGGATGCTGAAAAGCTGCTAGCATTTTAGCACTCCCTTCAAAGTACTATCCAATCAGATCCAAGCAATCTAGGGAATAGGCTTCTTACACGTACTCTGGATCCTGCCCAAGCCATAGGAGTAGCAACACCAAAAATGCAAAGGGAAGCAACTTGCTGCATCTCCCTCTGGAGCTGACACAAGCCCCACTCCCCACCATTCCCCTTGTCAGACACTACGCACAGAACGCAGCTGGTGGGCCAGCTTCCTTGCCTGGAATACCAGGGCAACTCACCCAGCCCTCACTGGCTCTGTGCCCAGGATCCCTCTCACCACCATCCCTCCCTGGCCCCCAAAAGGCTGTGCATTGCTGCTGGTGCCAGTGAGGCAAACACCCTTAGTTGGAATGTCAGGATCCTCAGCCAAGACACAGGGCCCTGCAGAATGAGAGACAGGGGCACCTGTTTGGCTCCCGCAGGTAGGGGAGACCTGAAAACTTACACCTGACGAATCTAATTTATAAAGCCACAAAGAAAGCTGTCCAAGTCAACTCCTGCTCTGAAAAATAGACGTTCCAGGTGACTAAAGAAGGGGTCACCCTGCCATGTGGGCATTCAGGAAGCGGGGTCCTTTCTGTTTCTATTCATAGTATTGATGCGATGTGGCTTCTTGCTTCTTGAAAAAAAAGAAAAGGAAACATTTTTCTTAATTTTTTTTTCTTAATTTTAAGACAGAATCTCAAGATCCTGAATCACTAGCCTGGAATTCACTGTATGGCTCTTAATTCTGCTCCCAATTTTTAAATGTTAGATTTACAGGTATGAGCCACTGTGGTCAGTCTAGGGAATGTAAACTTACAGTGGATGTTTTTAGTTATTCAGAAGGTAATCAAGCTTTACTCTGTTGGAGTCCTCTACCTTCAACTCTTCCCTGTGTGATTAAGGTGGCTGAGCAGATACGTACTTTCTGGGAAGCAACATATAGCCTTCTGAGATCAGCGGTGACAGCTGACAGATCTTTCCTTGGCTGTTCTTGGGCTTAGAATCTAAGCCCCTTCACAAGCCACAGGCCTTTGCATGCATTAATCCCTCTACCTCACCCTATCTGGTGAAATATCTCTAATCCTAGTCATGCATAGAGTGATACAAGAATAAAGATTTCCTTCTAAGAATTTCTGTAATAAAGGCCAAGGCCTGCAGGGTATAGTGGTGCACACCTTTAATCCCAGCATTTGGGAGGAAGAGGCTTGTGGATCTCTGTGAGTTCAAGGTCAGCCTGGTCTACAAAACTAGTTCCAGGACAGCCAGGACTATACAGAAAAACCCTGTCTCAAAATAAATATACAGACAGACAGACAAATGGACACTAGCCAAGGGATTGTTTCCCTTTCCTTTTGAAAGGTCTGCATTTTGGTTTTAGGAAAATGGCCAAGTAGGACAAAAAAGTGCCTGGGGAATGAAAAATGCAGTGGGTTTTCTGTAGAGGAAACCCAGACACTTCAGAGGTGTGCAGCAGTGCACAGATGAGGAACAAGCCACACTTAAGCTGGGTTTTCTCAGGAGACTACAGATGATCCATGATGCTATGGGGGCCACTGAAGGAAACCAATCCTCTATGGATGCTTTTTGATAGAGCTACTGCGCCCTGACCCCATCTCCCTCAACCTGACTTTCACATGACCTGGAGATGGTAGGAAGGGGAACCGCAGGGTGGTTGTCTTTCTGGTCTTCCAACAGGAACATACCCCTCATCTCTGACACAGGCATAAGTTCAGTCATAGTGGGGAAATCTGATCCCCAACATCACTCCCTCCAAAAATTGTGAGGGAATATAGAGAAACAGACTTCCCAACTGCAGCAGTAAGTTTCTGTGTAGTGTTGGGACTGCTGAATTGCCATCTAAGAATGACCTGAAACATACTTCAGAAAAGAACAACTCTTCCAGAGAATTAGAAAGCGCATTGAAAACACCTGGTGAAGAAGGTAGGCATGTTTGTCTGCATGTTGGCTTGGAGCAATTTCATGTGAGAGTCATTCTCCAGAAGTTCTGGCTTGCCTCCAACATCCTAGATAAAATGTTTGAACAATTTTGTGATGGTCACAGCCTCTTTTGTACTAAAAACTTAAAAAAAAAATCTTTTTAGAAATCCATTTTAAGGAAATAACCTAGAATACTGGCAAACATTTCTATGCATTAATATTATTGGATAGTTATTAACATGTTCAACAATTGCATGTATATGGTATGTATATGTGAGTGGGAGTGTACATGCCTGTACATGTGTGAGCAGAGGCTGGAAGTTGGTATCAGGTGTTCTCCTATAGTTCTTTCTGCTTTATTTTTTGAGGCAAGCTCTCTCACTGAACCCAGAACTTGCTGATTTATTTAGACTGGTGGCCAGAAAGCTCCAGAGATCCTCCTGTTTCTATCCGCAGTGCTGGGTTTACAGGTTCTATCTTAGTTACTTTTCTACCAATGTGACAAAACACTATGACCAAAGTAACTTATAAAAGATAACATTTATGGTTTCAAGCA